AAACCCAGAGCCTAGTGCATGCTAGGCAGGCACTCTACTACTGAACTATACTTTCAGCTCCCTTACATAACTGCTTTTTATGTTTTTAGGGGCTTTTTTTGCGGGGGGCACTCTTACTGTATTCCCAGTCCTGTTTTATTTTGAAACAAGGTCGTGCAAAGTCACTAAGTTGGCCAGGTGGGGCTTGAACAGACAGTCTTCCTGCTTCAGCCTTCCAGAGTTTTAGGATTATAACTGTAAAACTGTGGCAGTAGCTTTTTTTTAAGGCAAGATCTCACTGTGTCACCCAGGCTGGCCTCAAACTGGCAGTGCTCCTTCTGCTTCAGCGTGCTGGGTTGCAAGATTGCACCTCCATGCTTGGCCTAAATAGCTTTTTAAAAAAATTTATTCCACCAAAAAAAAAAAAAAATGTATTTGGTACAGGATCGCTATACACAGCTTGGATTTATAGTGATCCTCCTATTTTCAGCCTCCCCAGTACTGGGATTACAGGCATGCACCACCATGCCTGGTCTCAGTGGCTAGCTCAGTGTGCCTGCAGGCGGGGCTGTGCCACATGTGGTGCCCCGATCAAATCCTAGTCCCTGAGCTTGCCTAAGCAGGCACTTAGTCTGCTGACCTGTCTCCCCAGCTTTTTTTTTTTTGTGGTACCATGGATTGAACTTGAGACCTTGTACTTGCCAGGCATGTGCTATATTGCTGAGCCATCTCCCCAGCCCCTCGGTAGATTTTTAAAGTGGCCATAGATAATAGTATGAAGATACTGTCTCATTTCCTTAACTTCCTGGTGAAATAGAATGAATGGAAGAGATTGGGCTAGGTGCAGTGCAAAGTGCTTTAGATACAGTACTTCCCTCCTCCTCCATATTTGGACAGCATTGCATGTGCTAGGCAAGTGACCTACCATAGGGCTATGCCCTTGGACTTTTTTCCTTTTTAATTTATGTATTTATGCATGCATTCTGTACTGGAGATTGAACCCAGGGCCTTCCACATTCCAAGCTCTTTCCTTATTTCTTTCTTTTTTTTTTTTTTGG